TCTTCATCAATGATGTTATTTACCACATCATCTGATAAGTGCAACCTAATTGCACTAGCAGCTCTTTCATCCAAGTCAGCCCAATCCTCAGCTTTCATGGTATCAGGCTTTTTGGAATCAACATCTAGAACCTTGTGTAATCCTTGTTGGATGAGCAGATCTCTCATCCTTCTTTGCCATGTTGAGAAACCGTTATCTCCGTTGAATTTTTCTACCTCGTACTTTACTCCGGACATTTTTATTTTTCACCAAGTATAGTACTACCGACAGTGAATAGTATTTCAGTGAACGAGCAGAACCTGTGCTCTGATACCAGTTGTTGGGAATAAACCCCTTGCCAACAAGACTATGTCGAAGTGTCTGAAGAGGCGGACCCAAGATTTAAAAGTGGCGGGGGGCTAATGTGTTTACTTAGACATGCCAATTACCAGGAGCGCATCCAGTGCTTCGCCGTCGACGCGGAGTATGGATATTTATGTGAAAACCCACCAAAATTTCAACAAATATTATATCTAAAGTCATAATTTTAAATGAGTTGAATATGAACAACCTTAAGAACCTATCAAGCTAACATCCTAGATCTACATCTGCCAATTACAAGCTAATTAGTTTGGAGTGCAACTCTTTAAAAACTTAAAGATTATGACAACTTATGAGAAAGGTACAAAATTCAAACTATTGAATAACATTAATTTAGTACAAATATAACAAAAGTACATCATCTATTCATACTTGACCTCGACGGGCTTTCATTTTCGAAATTGGTAAAAAAAATTACGATTGCTTGGATTTGCAATTACTTCCATCTCAATGTATAAAAATAAATAATCATTTAAAAATGCATCACTAATACTATTTTGCAGTTCATTTTTCATGTGCTCCCTTGATGAGAATGCTCTTTCTACCATAACAGTAGCAACAAATAAAGTCGGAGTAAACTTCACAAGTAAATAAATATTGAATTGTAACTTGTAGTAAAAATGCTATAGGATTTAGTACTAAGAGAATATGATTATTATTAAATTAATCCCATAAAATGAAAATGACAATATTCTAGGGTTTAGTACTAACAGAATATAATTATAAATTAAATTAATCCCATATAATTGATAATGGCAGTCCACAGAAAGATGCTTCCTGTTGTGAACCAAGATAACTCAAGTAATGTGTATGGGCCAAATATCTAGACAGAGGCTATTGGGCCGGAGGCTAAACCGCGAAGAGGTCCAAGATTTAGAAAGCCCAACAAGAGATTTGTGATCCAGGTTAAGAAAGCACGTGACTAAGTGAATAAAAGGGGTTATGTTTGGAAGATTAGCCAAAATGTGATGTGAAAAGCTGTACTTCTCGTCTCTTTCTGCCTAAGCTTCTCATCTCCTTCTATGGTGTGTATTTTTGTCCTCTCATCTCTCTATGTTATCCCTTATTCTTTCATTGCAATTTCCAGTTATTTGTAAGTCCGTTCAGTGAATCAATATAGCTAGTTGGTTTGGTTGTTATTCCGTTTGTTACATTGGTGCTTTCATCGATCCGACCTCCAATGGAAGCTGTAGTAATTGATAAATTTAGCGGCAGCAACCCAGAGGGCTGGGTTTATCAAGCAGAGAGGTACTTCAAATTCCTTGGCTTCTCCGAGGAAAACTGGTTACCTCTTCCTTACTTCTACCTTGAAGGTGAGGCCCTCGTATGGTTTGATTGACTACATCGTAACAAACAGTTCTACGATTGGAATCACTTCAAGGAGAAATTGTTTTTGCGAAACCGGACCTTCGCAGATTCCAATAGGAGTGTGGCTGATCCGTCCCTAGCTTATCGTAGCTATGTTAGTTATGCTACTTTGTATCAGTCTGAAGCACAGGTATCTCCCTTACCTGATTTGAGTCCTAATTCTAACTTCTATGGGTTAGAATCTGCACTCAAAGTTGGAAACTCAGAGGCGAAGCATGTGTTCGATGAAATGTCTACTGGAGTTTTCACCAAAGCAGCGGATGAAACTTCTCCTGTTAAAGTAGCATGGCAAAGCGTAGATACACATGTATCTATCACTCAATTTGTAGCTGATTTGAACGATAATCAATCACCTAAGGTGTTCGACAAAATGTTACATAGTGGCTTTCGTAAGGTATTCGAAGAGGTGCAATCAGATGCTCCAATCAAACTGCCTGATGAAGAAACTACAATTCCTGAAAGCAGCAAAGTCCAACTGTTCGATAACAGTTCCCATAGAGATATGCCAGAGAGGTACGTTAATTCGACTTCTCTTGATCGTGGCTCAACTGAATGGAAAATTGAATTTGAGGTCTTGGAAGACATGTACTTCTCTGACCTTTTCATGGGACCAGAAACTATTGTGAACCTATACCTTGATACACCTTTTAGGGAGAATGGGGATGGGATTTCAACAGATAAAATGCCTTCGGATGAAACGAGACCGGATGTTGGTCATGGAAACGCTAGTGGGGAAGTCGAACATGATGAAGGTATTTTATTGGTGGTGAGTGTACCACATATTGCTTTCTCAATGAAATTTGATAGTACTTGTAATGATTGCTCGACCATAGTTGTGGGCGATTTCAAGGAAATCCCTCAGAAATCAGCTTGTCGTATTGATAACACTTTCACTGATCAACGTCTTTCAAATCAATTTCCATTTGATCCCGGTGAGTCTGTTCCTCCATCCATTATGTTCGAGAGCTTGAATTTACATTTCGATATACCACACTGCTTCCCTGTTGCATTGCGTTCTGGTGTAGTTGGCCTCGTTGGTGGCAAGCTGTCTAATGAATTTTCCAGTTGCAAAATGGATGTACAAGCTGTTCAACCTCGGCCGCCATGCCCACTTCCAAAACCACATTTCTTGGCCTTACTATTGGATTTCTTGGCCCAGGTTGCGCATTCTGTTGTAATTACAAAGAAACTCAACTTTTATGAGCTTGTCATAATTGGTGTGGATGATTCCAATCTAATTGCTCGTCTTCGCGCTGCAAATTTCAACAGTAAAACACAACCTACAGAAGTTGCACTTGTTGCCATATTACATGATTCCAATCCAATTGCTCGTCTTCGCGCTGCAAATTTCAGCAGTAAAACACAACCTGCAGCAGCTGCACTTACTACCATATTACAGGAGTGGAGAGTATCAAAATTAAGGAGTGGGTATAAGGTGAGGCTTCACGTTGTGCACTTTGCCGGTTACACATTTTATTGTGTCATTAAAATGGTAGAGTTGGTTGCACGTCATAGGTTGCATCATGGCTTAGGTGATGCATTGGTGTATGCTATCTGCTTGAACAAGTGTATGGTTGCAGGGCAGGTTATCACTGAACTCAATTTAATAATGCTGATAATTTTTACTGTAAACCTAAAAGAGCATGGATGGTTGATAGCAGTTGCTTTAGAGAAATTTGGTGAACAGAGAGCTGCTAAAACTGTTTATTTGTACTTTAAGGTGGATAATTCTAGCTTCGACGAGTCCGACCATGTTAAGAAGTGTTGTTTGTCTTATATTTCACATGCTTCTGGAGATCCTTTTGATCACAGCAGTATTCTTGAGGTAATTCTTGGCATCCAATTATCTGAGACTATTGCCTACATTATGGCGTATCATGTGACTATTTCATTTGATAGAGAAGGAAATGACTCTACTAATACCGCGACGGTTTTCAATATGGATCAGCCAGCATTTCCGTTGGTGAAAAATAGCCCGCTTGTTCTTATCCTTTCATTAGGAATCGATGCGGAAAAAGAATGGAGTGAAAGGGGCGTTGCAACAACTATTAGCCATATCTGTGAGTTGCTATTAGAAAGTATAATAAATTTTCCTCATGTTGCTGAGATAGTTTATGGGACAGCCAATACTTCTAAGCTCAGAACAACGACATTAAGCTTGACTGACATCATTTGGTGCTTTGTCCTTTTGGACACATCTCTAATTACTACACATCTTTGCCATGTTATCTTGAACAAAGTGGTTCTTCTCCAGAAGTCAAGCAATTTTAATGAAACCAAGTCTACACTACTCCAAGCTGCAAACCAAACTATGATATTGTTCCTAATGATTTTTGCATGACAGAGGCTATTGGGCCGGGGGCTAAACCGCGAAGAGGTCCAAGATTTAGAAAGCCCAACAAGAGATTTGTCTGGGATCCAGGTTAAGAAAGCACGTGACTAAGTGAATAAAAGGGGTTATGTTTGGAAGATTAGCCAAAATGTTATGTGAAAAGCTGTACTTCTCGTCTCTTTCCGCCTAAGCTTCTCATCTCCTTCTATGGTGTGTATTTCTGTCCTCTCATCTCTCTATGTTATCCCTTATTGTTTCATTGCAATTTCTAGTTATTTGTAAGTCCGTTCAGTGAATCAATATAGCTAGTTGGTTTGGTTGTTATTCCGTTTGTTACACTTCCATATTTGTTTAATACAATTATACAAATAAATACTTAATTATCATTATTAGTGGTAGTATTTATAATTGAGCTCACATAAATATGAATCCTAGGTCCTACTAATTTGTGAAAAACAGAAATCATAAAAGAATCAAAGTCAAAGTATGCTTGAAATGAATCGAATCTATATTGGTCAATAGAAAGAGGTGAAGAAGACCTTTACAGTTAACGGAGTTAAAGAGATAGGTCTACAAAGTGCCGCTGCCGAGGTGTGACGGAGGTTTGATCTTGCCGGACTCCGGTCGCTGGACGCCGGTTGCTTTCCGAAAGGGGGAAATAAAGTTTGACTATACTATTAACTGGTTGAAAACAAACTAACTGCTCAACCACTCATCTCTATATTTTTTAGTTAATTATTCAAGGAATATCTAGTTCTCCCCTGTACTATAAGGGGTCATTTGGTAGGGTGTATAAAAATATTGCGGAATAAGATATATTAGTAATGCTAATATTAGTAATGTATGTGTTAGTAATGTAAACATTAGTTATGCAGATGTTATTTCTTATCTATTGTTTGGTGTGGTGTATTAAAAATTTTAATGCATTATAATTTTAAGAAAAATATTTTTTTACAAAAATGCCCTCTATATTATCTAGCTTTAAGGGGCTTCAAGGATAATTTTGTCTTTAACTATGCTAATGCATGCATTAACACCCTTGGTATTACTAATATCATAGTTTTCTATGCATTATTTATACACAGGTTAATACAAGTATGTTGTATAACTAATACAAGCATTAGTTATATACAAGTTGAAAAAATGTACCAAACAAGTTATTAATAATGCACACAACTAATACTTGCATTATTTTTTCTAATAAACGACCCCTAAGTGGATATAACAAGGCACCTCATGGTCAATATGTGGCTGGCATAGGGACATTTTTGACATTTTATAGTTTATATGCTTTCAAGATATTATACTTGCTAGCTTTATTACTTGTACACACTTGATAAGTTTGCTACTTTCCATGTCACGTGTTACTATGACATTTTAAAATAGCCACTTACTGTTCAAGTAGGCCCCTCTTCGTATATTTTAAGAGAAAATGATAAAAAGGGTCCTTTATCTTTGAAAGTAGATTGATGATGGTCCTTTAAATATACACATATCAGTTTTAGTCCTTTAAGTAAAATTTGACAATTTTAGCCTCCATCCATTTAAAAACTAACACTGTGTGTTTATTGCCCCCAACTAGCTTATCTCGCGCTGCTACTAAATTGTACAAGGCCTGCACAAAACATGAAATTATAGCAGAGAAGACAATCGTCGAAGCAATGACTCCTATTTACTTGAATAATGTCTTTCTTAAGGAATCGTGCCTTTGTATTGAGGCATCAAAATGCCATGAACCTTTATACACAGCATTGAGGTAACAATTTTGTTTTCTTTTTTCTTTTTGGCTTTTCTGTTGATCACCCGCACATTATTCTTTCCTGAACTAAGAATGCTTTCAGCAAAAAAGAAAGAAGAAAAAAAAAAGAACAAGAAAACAAGGATGCCACCGTAGCACTATACTTCTATCATCTTTTATATTTTTTTAACTTAAAACCCCTTTCTTTGATTAATGGTTTTCTTTTTCTCCCATGTCAGTGACATTTACATTGAGAAATGAGGTTTTTCTTCTTCTTATTTATTACAGAGTATAAGTTATAACCAAGATTACTCTTTCCAGCTTCCAAACTCGATGAAAATGGATTTAGTCTCTCACAAGAATGAATGTATTATTTTGGGTAGGCAAAATACATAAACGCCTCCTTTAAGTTGTCATTAACAATCATACAGATGCCTCAACTGGCCCCTCTAGCAATCAAATACTTCAAGTTGCTATTAAATATATCAAGTAAATATTCCAGTTGAGCAAACCAAATGCTTGAGTTACACTTGCCAATATATATCAAATGAACCCATTAATGAATGACATGTGTACTTTGTAATAATTAAAACAAAAACCACTGTGTGACATCCTTCCCCACCTAGTGTTGAGAAGAAGAAACCCCATCCTAATTATATGATTCATGGAGAAAGAAGAAGAAACGAAGGAGATGAAGAAGAAGAATAAAGTAGAGATGAAGAAGAAGAGAAAAGTGGTCCACTAAGAAACTTCGATATAATTGATGTTGTCTGAACATCTTTTTGGACACACAGCTGGGCCTACCAGGTATTGGGCTTTTCACAATATTTAGAGCTTGGGTTATTAGTGTTGGGCCAGCCGAAGATGAAGCCATATTTATTTTACACATTCTTTTATTATTATAAATAACATGTGAGTAGTTATAAAATAACCAATAGAATAGAGACAAGTGTATAGGTGGTTATCTCTTAGATTCCTTTTGCTGTAGATAAATAGTACACTGTACAATGCTGATTTCATTCAATATAGAAAATACAAGATATTTTCTCAAAATCAGATTTCTTCAATTCTTTCATGGCATCAGAGCAGTGAGCTCGATCCAACAGTTCATCCATCAAATTTTTTTTCTACATCAAAATTTAATCTCAAATCAGTAGCCTAAGATGGTTGAAACAACTATAACTCCTACTGCTGAAGCAAGCAGTGTTGCCAAATCTGTATCCTATGATGCTAATCATCCCTATCATCTCAACAGTTCTGACTCGTCTGGAATGACCTTAGTGAACTCTGTGTTTGAAGGAAGAGGATATCCAGGATGGAGAAGATCCATTCTCCTGTCTTTATCAGTCAAGAAGAAACTTGGTTTTATCAATGGAGGTTGTCAACCTCCAGATCTGAAGTCCCTAGAGTATGAGCAATGGAGGTGTGTGAATGACATGGTGATCTCTTGGATCCTAAATGCTCTTTAAAGGACATTGCAGATAGTGTGATCTACTCCAAGACGGCAAAGGACCTTTGGGACAGCCTTGAGAAAATATTTGGAAGATCCAATGGAGCCAAGCTATATCATCTGCAAAAGGAATTATCGGGATTAGCACAAGGAAATTGTGACATTGCAGGATACTTTACTAAGCTCAAGAGATTATGGGATGAATTAGATGCCTTGAATGTTATCATATGTTGTTCTTATGTATGTGTTTGTGAAGGAAAGGCAAAGCTAACAAAATCCCTGGAAGATCAGAGATTGATTCAATTCCTAATGGGTCTAAATGACACCTATGCTCAGGCAAGAGGAAACATTCTTATGATGAACCCTCTACTTAGCATGGATGTTGCTTATTCACTCCTCCTGCAAGATAAGAATCAAAGAGAAGTTTATGCTAATGCACAATTCAATTCTCAATCAGTGTCAGCAGGAGAAGACAAGCAATCTAATGCACAACTTCTAGCTGACTTTGCAGCTTTCATGAGCACAGGACAAGGCAAAAATTTTCAAAGAAGTAGAAATCAAGCACAAAGAGGAGGAGGCATAGGGCCCAAGTTCAACAACATAGGGCAGAGGTTTGCTAAGCCTCGGCAGAAATTTAAATGGAGGAAGAAGTATAATCCAAATGTGACCTGTTCTTATTGTGGAAAAGCAAGACATTCTCAAGAAGACTGATACAGGATCATTGGTTTCCCAGAAGATTTTGAGTTTACAAATCAGAAAGGGTATCAGAATCAAATCAAAGGAAATGCAATGCTAACACATGAAGAACATAAAGGATCAGCAGGACAAAACAGTGAACACAACAACAATTTTGGTCAGCAACTCAGCAAGGAATATGTAGCAGAAATGATGCAGATGTATGAGCAGGCAAAGCTAACACAGGGAGGAAATAATAGGATCAATGCTAATGCAGTTGTTGGTACAATTTTAAATATTTAAGTTCAGTATTTACTACTCTAAAATCAGACACCTGGATCATTGATTCAGGTGCCTCAGAGCACATGTGTTTTGATCCAAATTCTTTCTTGTTTTTAACTCCTCTCCCTACACCTTTAAACATCAGTCTGCCTAACTCTTTCAAGGTAATTGTTACTCATATAGGAAGTATCTCTATTCTGCCTGGTCATGCTATGAACAATGTGTTGCATGTTCCAGAGTTCAAATACAATCTGTTATCAGTTCATAGATTTTGTCTTCAATTCAAATATGATGTATTGTTCACATCTGTTGAGTGTGTGTTGCAGGGCCTTTCAATGAAGAGTCCTCAAGCTTTTGGTGAAGTTAGAGAGGGACTCTATCTATTGGAACCAAATAGTGTCAAGTCTAAGGGTGTTTTTAGTAATGATGTATTTTCAATTCCAAAAGGAAGCAATTCCATTTCAAAGTCAGTTTTCTTTTCTAGTTCATTTCAAGCTAATGTTGTTAGTGATTTTAAGCTTTGGCATATAAGGTTGGGACACCTCCCATTTTCAATAATGAAAGATTTAGAATTTCTTCATTGTAAACCAGATTCTGCTTTTATCTGTGATGTTTGTCCTAGGGTTAAACAAACTAGAAATCCTTTTCATGTTAGTACAATAAGGTCCAAATAAATATTTGAACTCATTCATGTTGACACATGGAGACCCTATAGGTTAAACACCTACAATGGTTTCAGATATTTTCTAACTATAGTAGATGACTATAGTAGAAGAACATGGACATTCTTGTTAAATACAAAGAGTAATGCTTTTTCTATGCTCAAAGTTTTTTTGTCTATGGTTGAAAGGTAATTCAATGTAAAGGTGAAAGTCATAAGGTCTGACAATGCACTAGAATTGGGAAAAGGAACACAAGAGGCCGCTTATCTTTCCTCTCAAGGAATTCTACACCAATTGTCTTGTGTAGCAACTACTCAACAAAATGGGATTGTTGAGAGAAAATATAGACATCTCTTAGAAACTGCAAGGGGTTTAATGTTTCAGTCTAAATTGCCTATGAAATATTGGGGGGAGTCTATCCTAACTACTACACACCTCATTAATAGGATATCTTCTAGTGTACTCAATGGAAAGACACCATATGAGATTTTGTTTCAGAAAAAGCCTTAGTATAATTACTTGAGGAATTTTGGCTGTCTTTGTTATGCTTCAACACTGGCTCAAGGAAGAGGGAAATTTGATGAGAATGCAACAGCTTGTGTCTTACTTGGGTATCTCCTCCATCAGAAAGGGTACAAGTTGTTGGAATTAAAAACAGGAAAGGTATTTGTGTCAAGGGATGTGAAGTTCCATGAATCATATTTCCCCTTTGTTGAAAACATGTCTTCATACCAACCCATATTCCCAAATCCAATTCTCACCATAGAAACTACACATCCACAACCATCAGATGATCAAATCTCACCCATTCTTTTAGAGTCTAAGAATTCTAACAGTTTTTCCTTATCTCCACATACTTGTACTCAACAATCTCCTAGTCCAGCCTCTTTTCAATCTATCCTAGACACATCACATCTCACCTCACCTACCTAAGCACCTCAACAGTCCATACCAGTGAGAAGATCAGGAAGGGTATCTAATTAACTAGTTTACTTGAGGACTATGTGTGCAGCAACATCATGTTCACAGATGTGGAAGCTGCTTGTTACAATCAACCCATTAAACCTTGACAATATTGGTTTTCCTCCCTATCACCTAATAATCAATACATCATGCAATCTATTTCTACACTCACTGAACCTACCACTTTTTCTCAAGCTTGTCAATATCCAGGTTGGATAGAGGTAATGGAATAAGAAATCAAGGCCCTAGAAGACAATAATACATGAGATGTAGTTGAATTGCCTAAAGGAAAAAGAGCTCTACCTTGCAAGTGGGTATGTAAGGTAAAGCACCTCTCAGATGGAAGGATTGAAAGATTGAAGGCCAGGCTAGTGGTTAGGGGGGATATTCAAAGAGAGGGGATAGACTATAGTGAGACTTTTTCACCAGTTGTGAAAATGACAACTATAAGGTGTTTGCTCACTATAGCAGCCAAGAGAGATTGGAATGTCTCTCAATTGGATGTCAACAATGCATTCTTGCATGGAGATCTTCAGGAAGAGGTATACATGAAATTTCCCTCAGGTGTTACACCTCCTAGTCCTAAACATGTATGTCTTCTCATAAAATCATTGTATGGTTTGAAGCAAGCTTCTAGGCAATGGTATGTCAGGCTTGCTGGAGCTTTGAGTTTTAAAGGATATTCATCATCATTAAATGATTATTCTTTAAACTTACAGGAAAACGAATTTCTATTCTAGCTGTGTATGTAGATGATATTCTACTTACTGGGAATGATTTAGAAGAAATTCAGCATATCAAAGTTTTTCTCAATACTGAATTCAAGGTCAAAAATCTAGGCAACATACATTATTTTCTAGGAATGGAAATTTTGCGAGAAAAGGAAGGCTTTATTATGAATCAAAGGAAATTTACATTAGATATGCTACAGAAATTTGATGTCTCTCACTTGAAACCAGTTAGCTCTCCCATGGATTCCTCTTCCAAGCATGACTCTGATGATGGACGGCCTTTGGAAAATCCCACAGTCTTTCGTTATTTGGTTGGAAAGTTGAATTACTTGACCAATACTCGTCCAGACCTCTCGTTTGCAATTCTCTCTCTTAGCCAGTACATGTAGAGGCCCTGTATTTCTCATTTCACTGCTGCATTGAGAGTTTTGAAGTATCTGAGTGCAGATCTGGGTCAGGGTATTCTTCTTTCAGCTGCACCATCCTTTTCTCTGCAATGCAGATTGGGCTTCTTGTAAGGAATCCAGAAGATCTGTCAGTGGATTTTTCATCACACTTGGAGGAGAACCCATTTCCTGGAAATCAAAGAAACAAGTTTCAATATCTTTGTCATCAGCAGAGGCGGAATACAGATCTATGAGACGAGTTACAACAGAATTTACTTGGCTTGTTTTACTCCTTGAAGATCTTTCTGCACCAGTGGCTCTTCCCGTTCCACTTCATTCTGATAGCAAGGTAGCTATCTATATCGCTCGTAATCCCATTTTTCATGAACAGACAAAACATGTGGATATCGATTGTCATTTTGTCCGTCAGCAATTCCTCTCTGGGCTAATCAGTCTGTCTTTTGTTCCTTCTAAAGATTAGTTGGCAGATCTCTTCACTAAGCCACTTTCAAGGGTTTCTCATTCACAGATTTTGAGCAAGTTAGGGGTCACAAGGTCACCCTCTAACTTGAGGGGGATGTTGAGAAGAAGAAACCCCATCCTAATTATATGATTCATGGAGCTATCAAGGAGAAAGAAGAAGAAACGAAGGAGATGAAGATGAAGAATAAAGTAGAGATGAAGAAGAAGAGTAAAGTGGTCTACTAAGAAACTTCGATATAATTGATGTTGTCTGAACATCTTTTGGACACACAGCTGGGCCTACCGGGTATTGGGCTTTTCACAATATTTAGAGTTTGGGTTATTAGTGTTGGGCCAGCTGAAGATGAAGCCATATTTATTTTACACATTTTTTATTATTGTAAATAGCATGTGAGTAGTTATAGAATAACCAATAGAATAGAGACAAGTGTATAGGTGGTTATTTCTTAGATTCTTTTTGCTGTAGATAAATAGTACACTGTACAGTGATGATTTCATTCAATATAGAAAATACAAGATATTTTCTCAAAATCAGATTTCTTCAATTCTTTCACCTAGCTACCTCAAAAAATTAATCATAACTTCCGGCGAGTTCCAGGTCGACAAAGATGGACTCTCACCGGACTGACCAAACTTTGAATTGACAAACGGCTACTACAACCCAAGTACAAGACATTATACCAGCAAAAACTCTGATCTCGTCAATACCCGTATGTGATTTTCAAATTTGTTTTAGTGGATATATGAATACTCATTAACAGAATAATTACATACACATCAGAGGCGAACAACTACATACACATAAGAGATTTAAAACATCAAATTAAAGTAGCTGCAACAAAGACAACTGCAACAGTAGATCCGACAACGACTACTCTATTCAAAGATGCAGAGTTAGGATAGGGGGTAGGAGAACCACCGGCGGTTGCGGCGATGGAAGGAGGAGATGCACTGGAAGAAGAAGATGATGTCGGAGTATTGGTAGTTAGTGAAACTGGCGGAGACAGGTTGAAGGAATTTGTATGGAAGGTTTTTTGTATAGTGGTGGAGGCAGCCACATTAGTGGTGGAGGAGGTAGACAAAGTTCTTATGGTGATGGCAGTTGTAGTGATGGAGATAGTAGCGGCAATTTGATGTTAAAGAAGACGAAAGTACAAAATTTGAGGTGCCAATTTCTTATGCCGGCTTGCTATTTGGGATCCCATGAATATTGTTCTTGTTTTCCACCAAAGGTGAAAATTCTCGAGGAGGAGAAGTGTTAAAATGAAGTTAAGTGGGGACTACATAAAAGTTAGCTTAATTTTAGAAAGGCAGAATAGTTCTACTTGTCCCGCTTTATAATCCCGGTCCCGATACTCTATGAACTCTTATGACTATGCATGTTCCTCAATCGTCTTGCTGTATTATCCATGTCACATAAAAATATTCCGCGTTATTATTTTTCTTCACAAAAAATATTTTAAAAATTGAATCCTGAAGTAGATCGTTTTTCCTCTCTCAGAAGCACCTTCAGGCCTTCTTCTTTTTGAATACCATCCATCTGTCATTTAATCTCTTATTCTCTTTCAGTTGTGAATCAAAATCTATCATTTTCCTTTCTAATATTTGCAAAACCAGATCTGTCATTTTTTTATAGAAACCCAATGGACAATTCATTTTGTTCTTCTATTAAAATTAGATATAACAAAAATATTCAACTCAATCTCTGTAAATTCTCCACACGATATCTTTAGATCTTGACCCAAAAAAGAAGAAAAAATAAGACCAAAGGCGAGAATAACCACAGTTCATTTTTCTCTCTATTCTACTTTTCGAAAATAATATCAAAAACTCAACTCCTTTTAGTAAACAAGAACCTTCAAATCAGGGAAAAGTGAAAATCATATCTCTTAAATTAAGTTACCGAAAAAACCCATTATTTCACAACAACAAATCTGAAACTCTATTTTATTCCCTCTAGTGACTGTCCATATGTGACTTGATTTTGAGGCAAACTGGAAAAGACAAGGGAGAGGAGAAAGTGATAGAAAGAAAAGAAATTGAACATGGAGAAGAATAGATATGTTGATCATTAGTGGGGGGGGGGGGGGGAGGGGAGAGGACGAGAAAGAATGAAATTGGGGAGGGGGAAAAAACCTCGGCGGAGGTGGAATTTTTGTGTAAGAATAATTTTTATATTTTTTTCATTTTTTGTTATTTTTTAATTGGAACCATCAAAGTTAATCGCTTTTTAGACCGTGCAATCACGCATTTTACCCAACTCAGCAATGCATATGCCACATATGCTTGGTCAACGGTCAGAAGGGTTTAAAGTAATGTATTTTAAAAACAACGAGTGTCTAGATAAAACTTTGTAGAGTATTGGGATCAGAATGACAAAGAGGGACAAGTAGAAGTGTTTATTAGGCTATTCTTAGAAAAGAAAAAAAAGAAAAAACTTAATTTTAAGGGTTTCACGCGCTTAGATGTGAATATAATACACACACTTTGTCATGTCAGCGTGAGGAGTTCACGAGATGATACTTCAGTCGAGAAGAAGTGCATATTGATAATGGGGTCAGTTGAGGTGGCTACCTTATCGTTCTGGACAACATCAAGATGCCGTTTATATATTTCGCTTTTGGGAACAAAATAGATTCTGCAAGTTTTCTTTGTTTTAGGTTCTACAACAAAATAGTACCTCCATTTCAATTTACCTCTCCAAGAAAAAATAAAAATAGAAATTTTGTTAAAAGGGAGAGAAATATCACAAATTTATTAGGCAGAATAACTGAATTCTATTGCAAAATACAAAAATAGAAGCATATGTTGACACTTGGAGCTGGTTTTTTTTGGGGGGAGGAGGGAGGAAGGAAGGGGGAAGAGTTTTAAAGGATAGAGACTAAAATTGTCAAGTTTATAAATACTTAAAGGACTAAAACGTAGGTGTACATTTAAAAGACCATCATAAACCTATTCCCATAGATAAGGGACCTATTGTCATTTTCTCTATATTTTAGCGTATTGGCTATTTTATCTTTTTATCTTCCACAATTAATATTTCATACAAAGGCTTTATTGTTTTACAAAAATATTTAAAGAAATTCATACGACATAAAACAAGATCAAATTTTAATGCTCGATTGTTTTACGTGCGTACATCTTACCTTTTAGATTAAAAAACCAGAATTCTACTGATGGATTTATCTTCTCTCTTTGAGTATTTATTAATTGGAGAAACAAAAAGAAAATCAAGGCGGTAAATTCAAAAATCAAAAATTTAAGAAAACAAAGTAAGAGTAAAATATTTTAAATTTATCCCAAGAAAAAATTAGAAACATACAAAATTTTTCCCATGGGCTAATAAGTGGTACTTTATATGCTATTAATCTCATAAGTTTCACACAAAGAATAAACTTTAGTTTGTTCCGCATTAACTTAAAATTGTATAATTAATATTTGTACAAATAATTAGTGGACACATGTGCTCTCAAAAGTTCTATGTTTTAAATGTATACTTCTTCCCATCATTCAAGTTTTAAAAGTTTTTTTTTTCCGTATAAAGTAGTAGTTGTATGAAATTTCATAATCAATAATTGAGCTAAAATTATCTAACTTTAGTATATGCATCTCTATAATCTTATCAAAATAACATTAAAATCCTTCTTTGAGTAAACAATTTTTGCTGAGTAAAATAAAGTCAAATTTAACATAAAACCGAAAAACAAGAATCCTCTTCTTCTATAGTGTTGTTTCCTTATTTTACATGTAAATAATTTTAATTAAGTTATGTTCCCTTCCCTAGAAAATAATTGTCATTTTAGCTAAATATATTTAGCCAAAATAAATGTTGCTTTGGGAAGTTAAAACGACATTAGTCACATTTTTCCAAATCTATTTTCGATTTAATAAATGACCTATAAAGTATAATGAGTAATTTGACTATGATATAAAGCATAACTTAATCAAATAAACCTTATAATAAATGTTTTATATTATTTTTTTAATGACCGTACCAAAAATTTAAAATGACATCTTTTTAGACTTGAGGTAATATAAAACGTAAATTTAATTGTAGTTGCGTTAGATAACTTGACATTAAAACAAAGGAAGATTGTCAATGCTTATAAGTTAAATGAATTTTTTTTATAACTACTGCTAATTCTCACAACATGATTGTAACACTCCGTAAATTTGGACTAGGTGTGTACATGTTAAATGTGTATTAAGATGGTATCTTAGACATATGAAGTCCTATAGGGATGAGTATAGGTGAAAAGAGTTGTTTTGGAATCAAGACGGAGAGTGAGGTGTATAAGATTCGATAAAATCAACTAAGTTATGGAAGATCTATATTCCATTAGGATTTCTAAATACCTGTAAAGAATTTCGAAAATCACAAAACATGAAAGTTGTAGCCCTTTTAAAATATCTTTCCAACTATATATTATGAAGCCCAAACAGATTTCATAGCAAAAAGTTATATGCGTTTTACTAGATAATGCACAGTATGCGCGTCTAGGTACGCGCCCGGATGGTCTCGTGTGCGGCCGCGCACTTGTGGCAGTGCTACTGCCCTGATGCGTGTCCAGGTGCGCGGTTGGGCCTTCAGGTGTGTGGGAGCACATCCGGAGTTTATTTTTAAAGCTCTACTTCGTCCCCTACACCCCAAAACACAAAACTTGCTCTAGAAAGGGAAGCTTTCAAGAACCTAACTTCTCAAAAGTCCCTCCATCATCCAAGGTAAGTTCTAATGATGATTCTAAGTTACTTTCAATTCTTCAAACATTATTAATATGGGTAAACCTTTTAAATTATTAGATATTCGATTACGACATCAGTTTTGAGAGACAAAACCCTAAAAGTCGAATTCAAGATGATTGAACATCAAAAAGGTAATATCTTCACCCTCTACTTGATAATAGTATTGGATTAATGATTATAGACTCTAGTTCATGAGATATGAGTTGATGGGTTTGATAGAAAAACATGAACGGTTATGAATTTGTATTGTTGATTATTGATTATTGGTTAAGGGTATTGTTTATCTTATGTGTGATGAAGAATGATATTGATTATAAGAAATTTGAGATTTTACAATTTATCTTGGAGTAAGAGAATGGGTTGTTGGATGTAGAAACATCATTAATGAGGGTTATGAGACTTCACGCTCATAAAGTGTTTGATGAAATATCTAAGTGACAAAAACATGAGTATTATTGCTAATATGGAATCCCTTTGACTTGTATTGATATAGATTACAGTTGAAAGGGTTGGCGAATGTTGTATTACGCTCAAGAGTAGGAAGTTAAGGTAAGTGAGACTAATTCTTTATATTTGGGAATGTTAATGATTCTCTCTACATTACATTTATTTTATGACATTATTAATTGCCTCAGAAATATAGTTAATCCTAGTTCCTTTAATAGTTGCAGAACTTCTAATTATCTAGCTTCATAACTCGTTCATGACTTTCATTCTGAACTTGTGAAATCAGTACGTAATCAATATAGACTTGTGTTTGATGCCTATAAGTCTCAGTCTAGATTACTCGACATGTCATAAACAATTGAAGTTTCAGTTTTCACAATCAGTTCATACATGTATCAGTCTAGTTCTATTCAGCATTCTGGTATCATGTTACTTAATATGATTCAGTATTTCAGTATCACATATTGCAGTATGGTTCTCAGTTCCTAAATTTAAATCCATGAATGTTGAACACCTGTAATTGGGCCTAAGGCCGTAGTTTATATGCTTTATGCATATTTGGGCTTGAGGCCGTAGTTTATATTTTATGCATGTTTGGGCCTGAGGCCGTAGTTTATGCTTTATGTATTTTGGGCCCGAGCCCAGAGTTATGTAGACGTATACTTGGGCCTGAGGCCATAGCTTGTGCATATATACATTGGCCTGAGGCCGTAGTTTATTCAGATAAACAGGTTGTTCATCATTCAGAAGAGGGAGTATTTATATCCTTACTTCCTTTGTTCAGTTCAATTATCAGTTATCATTTCAGTTATTCATTATTAGGTATCAGTTATCATTTCAGTTATCAATTATTAGCAATCAGTAGTCATTTCAGTTTCAGCTTCAAGAGTTATCATTTCAGTTATCAATTATCAGTTCTCAATTATCAGCTCAGTATTAGTTTCAGCATTTATAGTTTTTTCTTTCAGTTGCTTTATATACCAGTGCAATTCAAATATACTGACGTCCCTTTTGCCCGAGGCCTACATCTCACTATGCAGGTAATGATTTACAGGTTGATGATTCAGAGCGTTATTGTCGTACCAGCTATTTGGTGATCCCCTGTTCTTTCGAGCATTATCATTACCTTATGGTCTTCAGTATTTTCAGACAGTTAGTGTCATTAGTACTTCATTAGAGGCTTCATAGACTAGAGTGACAGTTAGATATAATCACAAGATTTTCATGTTAAGTAATGTTAGCGACAAATATACTTCACACTTGTGTTAGTGTTTTCGCACATTAATTTATATTATTCAGACTTTTAGTGTAACAACATGTGTTAGTTTACCTTCCACTTTCAGTATGTTATGATATCACATGTTGATTCAGAAAGCTAGTTGGTTCGCTCGGTCACAGTAGTCAGGCACCGGGGGTCGTGTTACATTCAGGCATAGGTTCGAAGCGTGATAAAGAGTCGCCAATTAGGAGATTTATGGTGTCCCAAGTCACCGGTTGAATCCCGAATCGAGGAAAAGATTGACTCTGTATTACAGTCCGCGAATCAGAAATCCGAGTAAGGAATTCTGTTAACCGGGAGAAGGGGTTAGGCATTCCCGTGTTCCGTGGTTCTAGCACGGTCGCTCAACTGTCATATTTGGCTTGAATTATCTGATTTTAACAATTATGAACTTATGTGCAGATTTTTAACTCTTACAACTTTTATTATTATTATTATTTTAAAAGAGAATTGCAACGTTATTAAAACATGTTTTGAACCACGTCACATCAATGCACCCATGATTTTGGACACGTTTTAACATCGTTTAGATTTAGATTTGGGTTGCATAAATGCGCAACCGAGTTTAGGGAAGTAA